GTCCCTGTGATAAATAAAGGCACCGGTTTTATTCCAAGCAAATTAAAGCAAACAGAGAATACTAACAAAAGAACTATTTCTGCATATTTACTGACTTACAGGCCTACCGTGGAGTCTGGAAGGTGAAGGGCACCGGGAGCGGCCCCGAGCCCGGGCCCGCCATGGGCGCCGCCATCTTGGGCTCCCCGGCCGGAAGTGACGCCGGAAGTGGCCGTTACCGGGGCAACGCGGGCGCCATGTTGGGCCCTGTGGTTGAGGGTCCAACCCCAGAGACGCCCCACACACACACACACACACAGCCTGCAAACAGCAGGAACGGGCTGTGCTGCCCTGGACCTACCACCGGGGAATCTTTTGCGGCCGGGAACAGGGAACAAATTAGAAATAAAAATGTATTCCTCTGTGCCATGAGGATACAAAGAGAGGCCCTCCACGCCTTGCAATGTGGGGATGATGCAAGACCCCCCCCCGTACGAGCCCAGGGGAGATAAGTTACAACCAGCCAAAAGGCAACACCCACCTCCAAAGCAGGGAAATTACCCTTTTAAGGCAACAAACGGGACAATGAATGAATATTCAACAACTGATATTGAAAGGGAACAAAAAGCACAGTTTTCAAACATTGTGTGTGCTCTTTGTAGGATCCAGTGCTGGAAATGGGTAACCAGCACTGCAATAAAACAAAATCTCTTGCTGTATTTCTTTGTCCTGCAAGTATTATTGCCATCTTCAAAATTCAAGTGACTTATAACAGTCCCCACCTGTCCATGGCCTCCTCCACCCGCGGCCCCGTCGTGGTGCTGCTCACGACGTCATCCAACTGCATCACGATATCAGCACCTGGGGGGGGTAAAAGGGGGGGTTGGGGGTGTCCTGGGACTGTGGGACCCCCCTCCCTTCCCCCCCAGCTCACCCAGGGCGTTCTGGATCTCGATGGATCTCTCCGGGCTCAGCAGGATCTCGTCGCCGCCGTGGGGGGGTTGGAACCGAACCCCCTCCTCGGACACCTCCGACAGCTGCGCCAGGGACACCATCTGGAACCCCCCGCTGTCCTGGGGGGTGGGGGGACACCCAAAATAAGGGATGGGGGGGGGTTAGGGAGCCCCCGAGGTTGGGGACAGGGTCCTGGGGGTGTCCCCGCTCCCCCCCCAACAAGGAGGGGGTCCTGCCCCCCCCTCACCGTCAGCAGGTTGTGGGGCCAGTCCATGAACTGGTGGAGACCCCCGGAACGTCGGATCAGCTCCGGGCCCTGCAGGGGGAGAAGAGGGGGACGAAAAGGGTTCACCTGGAGCTTCTTGGGAATCACGGCGGGAATGCGGGGACGCAGCGGGG